TGATTCTTTCTAAGACCGTTTGGTTGACAGGTCACAGTTCTGTCACTGAATCCCAGCATGAATCTGACCATGTAGTGTCATATAGAAATGTAGGTAGGAGCCCCCATTGGTGGACACTGATGAAGGTCTAAACAGCTGATGGGGCCCAGGTTGACAGAACCAGACCAGCCGCGGTGACTTCGTGACAGTGTTGAATTACTCATCAGATTTTAAATGACCAATGATGGACTTGCATACCATCAAGTGGCCTCTTAACAGGAATAGACATGAACACCGTGGACCAGTTAAAGTTTAATATGTGTATTTAAAATACTAGATGTACAAGCAAACTATGAGGGAATTAAGGAGTTGGCCATGATAGAGGCATGATGGATGGTCGTCATAAGATAAGACAGAGGTAAGGGTTAAGTTTGTATTGACTTAACTGCATTTGAACACTTCAGGTTCATGTGCAGTTCTTGCTCAACCATTTTTTTTTTTTTTTGGATTTTGAGAGTGAGCATATTAAATTACAGCTCTTTTTGTGTGTAAATAACTTAACACCTTGCCATGATATGCAAGACATTTACAACCAACAGTTGGTAAAGAGAGCAAGACATCTATATTTGTTGCATTGGATCAGGTAAACTCTGATCTAGTTTAGTCAAGAATGCTTGCCATATACGGTGCTATGGTTATTTTCACAACTCCAAACACGTGATGCCAAGCGCCTGCTAAAGTGATGTTAAAGTAAATCATCATTGCATCATTAGGTTGTGTGTGTGTGTATACACAGCGCCCCATTTTCAGCAATAATAAGGGAAAATCATCCACGGCTAAGGTGAAACGGGGTCTTCGAGGCTGTGTCATAAGTCATTTGTTCATAACCGCCGACGGAAAAAATCTCAGGCTTAAGATAGCAGGAACTATCGCATTACACGGAGAACATGGAGTTACATAAAGCAAGCCTGCGCTCAGCACGGTGTTTATGTGATTAACAGCTGACTGACTGCAGGCGAGACTGACGAAGTGACTTGCAAATTCCGACTAGTAACTCTGGAATGACATGACTCTGAAGCATTTGGCTTTAAAGACGAATTACGCCTTCTTTTCTGTTATATAATTATTTAATTATTACTATTTGTAAAAGCAGTAGCCGTTAGACATTTCAAAAGTAATACTTTGGTAGCAAGTCGATACTAAAATTAAGAAGATGTAAGGATATCACTCTCTCTACAGTACCAGCAGTGGCGAATGCGCGCGTGCTTTTTTACAGTCTATGGCACGTACAGATACACTTCAAAATTAAGTGAAATGCTGTTTTTCGTGTATCAATATAAACACGGTAGGTTATGTATAATAATAATAACAATATTATTGAGGGAAAACTACAGTAGTCGTTTATGGAATAGAATATTTCGCATACATGACCTTTAATGCATGAGTGTTTATAACTGAAAGAAATAAGCACTGTTTTGTGTTCTGATTCTTGTATTTTGTTTAACTGTGCTTAAGTGCTTGCTTTAAACATTTAAAAACAGTATTAGTTTTTGCTTAGGTATATCGAAAATGTGTAAAAAATCGTGAAATTTTACTGGTATTGCTGTCGTGACTACTGTAGACAGAGAAAGTTTTTCCTTTCCACCTCATTCTTTCCAGGGAGAAAAAAATAATGCATGACACATTCATTGTTTATTTAGTTCATAAGAAATAATTAATTATGGAAACTTGTAATTAAAAACCACGAATGTTCTCCAGTAATTTGAAGCCACCCGCTTTTGTTACAGGGTCCTCTGGCAGCGGTTAATCTACGACAGAAATCCCATGACCTCCATCAAGTTCATTTCAGACTAGCTGGAGCGACCCAAAACAACAGCTGCCTGTATTACGCTCCACATCTTTTTTTTACACGAGTCTGCAGCCTGAGTCAGCTCATCTGAAATCTTATCCTCACTACAATCCTAATGGCACAAACATTAATAAATCCATAAAACATATGACCCCCTCTCTAATCTCTTTCTGTTGTCTCGCCTACGTCTCTGCGCCCTCTTTCTGAGGAATTCTAGAACTTTTTGTTTCACTTCTAATTGCTGTACCTCTGTAATAAAACGCTTTTGTTTAAGGGTAATTCACAGAACGCAAGATGAAGGTATGGGAAAAGACTTGCAAATTAAGTTCCAGAGACAAATTATTTAACAGTTGAAAGCCGCGTTTTTACCTAGAAAAAGACAATGGAAAAGCGCGTTCTGTGCGAATGGGCCCATATATCGTTCCTGAATTAAACGCTGCTTTGAATAGATGCGTTTGCTACATTACATGCAAGTTCCCTACTGCGCCATCCCCACTAAAGTCTATTGTGAATGATAATACCCTATTATGTGCTGCGGCAGGTCGTCTCATAGCATCTCTGAATGTGTGGAGGAACTGCAGTGACTCACGCACATACTGTAAATTATATCTACCCCTCCCTTTCTCTCTCACTGCGGCTAGACAACATCCAAAACTTAGTCACTGACCGAAACGCTTTCACTTACAGTATTCCAGTCATAAAATACTACAGCGGCAGCCAAACTATTATTGCTAATTTGCTACATAAAACAGATTGTGAAGTGTCAATTCATTCACGTTTGGACCGTTGGATGATGTAACAGTGTAACAGATAATCCAGCGCCCGCCACGAATTTATTTAAAGAGATAGTTCACCCCGTAAAACGAAAATGGTCACGCTTAGTTAAAGTCTAATATATTTACCTTCTTGTTTCAAACATGCATGACTTCTTTACAAAATTATTTAATAAGCAGGATGACAACCTCGCTTGGTCATCATGCAACTTTCAATGCATCGAAAAATGATGCAATAAGTGAATGGTTACTTAAGCGGTCAGGTGAATTATCCCTTTGATTATCCCTTGAGAGCAGGCACGTGCACAGGTAGGGCTCAACCTTTTTCAAATTCAGCACATGCCCCTCAAAAGGTCTGTGCACGGCCCTGTATATATATATATATATATATATATATATATATATATATCCCCCCCCGAAGTATGTTGAGTTTTAATAATCTATAAATCTAACGTTATCTACCCATATCTATCTAGCTAGAGAGATACATAGATACTAATGATGTGCTTACCGAGATTTGAAAGTCTCTCCACCAAACCCGCATCCCGGATGGCTTTGGGTCCATGTTCCACCCCTCTCCTTTTCTGAGTGAAAATCGTAAAAATACCGTCACATCACTAAATTATACATCGGTGAGTTTGTGTGAGTTCTAATTAAATAAATCTATATTTATTACCTGTCCTTTGGAAAACGGAGCTCCCAAAATGGCAACAGATTGCGATCGGTTCTGCTGGCAGGAACTCAACGTGGATCTCAATAATCTAGACAGTGGTCCTCTCAAGGCCATGCTGACTCAACCGGAGAGTTTTGAGATAAAATATAAAAACGCAGCGGAAGGTTGCAAACGAATAGTCTGTCGCCCGATGTGGCTTTTACTCTTCTGGCTGGCTGTTGAATCTCAAAGAACTGCCACGACGTTTTTCTTTAAATCTGCCACTTAATTCATATTCATGAGTTGGTGAATAGCGGAAGGTAGAGCTCAAAGCCACACGCTTTGGGTGAAATCTCAAGACCGCCCCCCAAAATCTAACAATCTTCCAGCATCCAATTGGTTTAGACAGCTTCGTCCGCTCAGTGCGCCGTGAACCACGTTTTTCTATTCATAGAGCGGGCAAACCTGCGTCACACCCGATGACACACCTTCCTCCCAGCCAATCAGAAGCTCCGCCTTCGTGGGTTTGTTTCGATGAGCGTGGCTTTGGGCGAATGAGTGGCGTGAGAGATGGGGTGCTTTTTTTTGTGGTGTTGGAAATTTCCATCTCTGCACTGCCGACTGCATATGTTTTTTTGGCTTGACTAATGTCTCGTCAACAAATTCCCATCGTACAGATACAGTGGATCAAAACAGATCCAGTGTCCATTGCATGGCTGCTTGACTGAATATATATGTTCTATAGAAATGTCTGGAATACCGGTTTGACGAGGTGTGGCAAGTTGTTGACAACTTTGGCCTAATTTCAGTGTTTATATGCACTAGCAAACGCACTTATAAACATAACTACATATTTATACATAATTCATTGAGATTTATTGATTGATCAGTTTAGCTAATCACTCATCTGTAATAAAGAATACATATATAGAGTGATTAGTAAATGGAGTCCATATTCTCTGCATTTTGGCTCCATCTGGTGGTCGAGTTGTTTGAGATTTGTTTTTTTTTCTGCATGGTTTCGCTGCTATCACAATCATATGGCAGAGTTACATGGCCATATTTAGCATTTAATGTCATGTTGAATTTGTGTTTATGTCAGACTGCCTTGGTAATGCATTATTTTGGTGATATTATTGCGCTTTTGAAATAGTTTACTATTTCTGCAAAAAGAAAGTCAGCTGGACGTTTGGTGGCGCTGTAGCATTACTGTGATGTTGTTTGCTGCATATCAAAGCATTTCCGGAAATATTTTCTCTTTGGGCGGAATGTTTTTAGTATTTTTTCCTATGTACAAAAGTTCAATTCCTCTAGGGGGCGCTTGCTGGCTCAAAATGCCGAATTCTCAATTCGATCACATTCAAATCTCAGGATGATTTTATTATACTGAGCACATTATCAATCTAAAAACGGTATTAAAATAAACAAATTAATTTAAACGATTTTTGTATCTGACATTGAAAAAACACCATCCGCTTCATCTATAATAAAAAAATGAATAAATCCTAATTTGCGCTGAGAAAAGTATCAGGTACCACGTGACAAGTCCGTCAACGTGCTGCTTCATCAGCGTTCTTGACAACATTTAAACCTGAACTATCACACTTACAACTTTTGATAATCGATAAAGAGCAAATTCTCAGCGAACATTTGAGAAAGCATGAGAATTCTAATTGTTAACCCTCCATCATACTAGGTCACTAAGCCCCGCCCATCTTTAGCAGCAGTTTCATGCTGAATTGCCATTCTTGTCGCTGACGATATTTTTTGGATTTTCTATGGATGCTCTTTATTATCAGAGGAACGCATGACCAAATCAAAAGAGAAACATTAAATATTTTACTGAACGTGGCGTTATATATCCATTCCTGTAGTGGATAGGAGGTCTTCTTATTTTTTAGCGGCGTTAATACTAAAACCGAATTGGGTGAGTCTTAATCAATAGTAAATACAGAGGAAACATCTTTATTTTCCAGCTGGCCTCCTAGTTCAAGTAGGGTATAATGAAGTATAGAGATTTGTTGTGGATGCAATGAATGTTGATTCGTATGATTCATATTATACCCAGAATGAAATCACAGTTAAGATGACTTTGTATGGCCAAACGCTCTTTGGAACTGACATAAAATCTCTCTGACAGATCGGTGTGTCAGCAGACATGTCATTCCCTCATCTGAACCAGGTAGCCCAGTTGCCCCCTGGCATTTCCCCCACACAGTTTGCTGGGTTTCCCACCACTGTTCCTACAGGTAGGTCATGAAGATAAGAAATATGTATATTCATATATATTGACACTGAAGTACTTAATCTTTGTTTATTTTTATTTTTCCTCAGCAAATCCGATAATCCCAGTCCCTGTGGGAATGATGACTCCTTTTCCAGCGGTATGTAAAGAAACAGCTTAAACGTTTCTTTTGGTTTCCTCCATTTGTTTTGAATATTAACCCTGTTACCAGCCTGAGAATAATTTCCTGTAATATTTCCAAGAAAATCAGGTTTTACAATGTGCCATATATGCGTAATGTCTGTAGGCTATGTGCTATACACAGATCCTAAATACAGAGACCATACCAGATCTTCTGGTGCTTTACTCCTGACCATTTAAAATAATATGCATGCAAGCCTGTTATGCATCCAAATTCAGATGCATGGATCTGTCAGACAGGTTGTGTTTATTATACTCTGTGCAGTTGTACTTTACTGTTTGTTCCTGAAATATGCTGCAGGTTTTGGTACAAACTGCAGTGCCAGTGGTTCAGAAGCTGACTAAGGACTCCATTGGCACCCGCAACAAGGACTCGGAGGAAGGTACAGGTAACAACACAGGACTGACCACCACAGTGTTTGTGGGAAACATCTCAGAAAAGGCCTCTGACATGTTGGTGCGGCAGTTATTGGCGGTGAGTGTTTGGAATTTATTCTACAACTTTTATCTGCGCAGTAATATTAAATCTCTTAGACACATTACCTGTATAGAATTAGTTCTCTCCAGAAATAAAATTCTGTCATCTTTTACTCACTCTTATGTCATAGAGCACATCAATGGTAAACGGAAGTTCAAACTTACTTGCTTGACACATGAGAACCAATGAGGTTTGTTGCTGATTGATGTGCTCTATGTATTGTGCTCTCATCAAAAATATCCTCACTTTTGTTTCGAAGGTAAATGAAAGTCATGTGAGTTTTGAGCAATATGAGGGTGAGTAAATAAGGACAGAATTTAAATGTTCCTTTTAAGTTGATTAACACATTCTTTATTTGACCTGATGTTCATGGGAATGTCCGTGTTATGTTAGCTCAGAATTTTTTAATTGTCAGCTTGTCACAAAATACATTTTCCTTTCTTCTGCAGAAATGTGGTTTAGTCCTCAGCTGGAAAAGAGTCCAGGGGGCTTCTGGAAAACTGCAAGGTATAAAGAAAGACTATAATAATCATCACTGCATAGTGTGTCAGTCTTTTGTAGTCCACCGTTATTGACAAAGATGTTATTGGTAAGTTCTAGCAATGAAATTTTTTTACAGACTTGGTATTTTCAAATTTAGTTTGACTACTTTAGGCCCAGCAGTTTAGATTTTTTTTAAGGATCTCTATCCAGGATTGTGCTAGTATTTGTTAACATGGGCTGTCTTAGGCAAACAGGAATATGTTTAAAAAGATCAGACCTTCAGCTTTCTAAATTCATGTCATCTGTCCGCCCTGTCTGACCCAATGTTGTGAACTTCATACATTTTTATGTGTGTGTTTGTATGTGTAGCTTTTGGTTTCTGTGAGTACAAAGAGCCAGAGTCCACGCTGAGAGCTCTCCGACTGCTTCATGAGCTGCAAGTGGGTGATAAGAAGTTACTTGTGAAGGTGGATGCAAAGACCAAAGCACAGCTGGATACCTGGAAGGCCAGTCAGAGGAGACGAAATGGGGTAAACCAAAAAAATGTATACTTTCATTCAGCTAGGACACATTAAAGGGGTGGTTCATTGCGATTTCACTTTTTTAACGTTAGTTAGTGTGTAATGTTGCTGTTTGAGCATAAAAAATATCTGCAAAGTTACGAAGCTGAAAGATCAATGCAAACGGAGATATCGTCTTTTAAAATTCTGGCAGTTTAATGCCATAAAAACGGCTGGTAGGGACTACAACGAGTTACTTCCCGGGTTCGTGACATCACAAACCCAGATAAACCCCACCCTCGGGAAAAGGCAGCATAGGGGGTAAGGCCTGCGCTGCTTTAGAGGAAGAGAAAACTAGAGGTGCACGTAAAAATCTATTCATATATGAATCGCGATTCTGTATTCTAACGATTCTAATGGATTCACAAGATTCCAAATCAATGTTCTAAAGCAGCGGTTCTTAATACTGTTCCTCGCGTCGCCCTGCTCTGCACACACTCTGCATCTCTCTCTCTCTCCCTCTTTCTCGCTCTCTCTCTCTCTCTCTCTCTCATTCAGCTCCGCTCCAACAATGAACTGTTACAATTATACACTTATTTTCACATAGCTATGAGAAGCGTTAAACATGCGCATGAAACATGTTAAACGCGCGTGCAGTTGCCGTACTGTATTAAAGCTTTAATCAGGATAAAACCGTATATTAAAAGCTAACATAAGCAGTAGCATTTACAAATAACAGCGTATCTAAAAGTATGAGACAAACGGAGCTCCCAAAACAGCAACAGAATGCGATCGGTTCTGTTGGCAGGAACTCAACGTGAATCTCAATAATCTAGACAGTGGTCCTCTCAAGGCCATGCTGACTCAACCGGAGAGTTTTGAGATAAAATATAAAAACGCAGCGGAAGGTTGCAAACGAATAGTCTGTCGCCCGATGTGGCTTTTACTCTTCTGGCTGGCTGTTGAATCTCAAAGAACTGCCACGACGTTTTTCTTTAAATCTGCCACTTAATTCATATTCATGAGTTGGTGAATAGCGGAAGGTAGAGCTCAAAGCCACACGCTTTGGGTGAAATCTCAAGACCGCCCCCCAAAATCTAACAATCTTCCAGCATCCAATTGGTTTAGACAGCTTCGTCCGCTCAGTGCGCCGTGAACCACGTTTTTCTATTCATAGAGCGGGCAAACCTGCGTCACACCCGATGACACACCTTCCTCCCAGCCAATCAGAAGCTCCGCCTTCGTGGGTTTGTTTCGATGAGCGTGGCTTTGGGCGAATGAGTGGCGTGAGAGATGGGGTGCTTTTTTTTGTGGTGTTGGAAATTTCCATCTCTGCACTGCCGACTGCATATGTTTTTTTGGCTTGACTAATGTCTCGTCAACAAATTCCCATCGTACAGATACAGTGGATCAAAACAGATCCAGTGTCCATTGCATGGCTGCTTGACTGAATATATATGTTCTATAGAAATGTCTGGAATACCGGTTTGACGAGGTGTGGCAAGTTGTTGACAACTTTGGCCTAATTTCAGTGTTTATATGCACTAGCAAACGCACTTATAAACATAACTACATATTTATACATAATTCATTGAGATTTATTGATTGATCAGTTTAGCTAATCACTCATCTGTAATAAAGAATACATATATAGAGTGATTAGTAAATGGAGTCCATATTCTCTGCATTTTGGCTCCATCTGGTGGTCGAGTTGTTTGAGATTTGTTTTTTTTTCTGCATGGTTTCGCTGCTATCACAATCATATGGCAGAGTTACATGGCCATATTTAGCATTTAATGTCATGTTGAATTTGTGTTTATGTCAGACTGCCTTGGTAATGCATTATTTTGGTGATATTATTGCGCTTTTGAAATAGTTTACTATTTCTGCAAAAAGAAAGTCAGCTGGACGTTTGGTGGCGCTGTAGCATTACTGTGATGTTGTTTGCTGCATATCAAAGCATTTCCGGAAATATTTTCTCTTTGGGCGGAATGTTTTTAGTATTTTTTCCTATGTACAAAAGTTCAATTCCTCTAGGGGGCGCTTGCTGGCTCAAAATGCCGAATTCTCAATTCGATCACATTCAAATCTCAGGATGATTTTATTATACTGAGCACATTATCAATCTAAAAACGGTATTAAAATAAACAAATTAATTTAAACGATTTTTGTATCTGACATTGAAAAAACACCATCCGCTTCATCTATAATAAAAAAATGAATAAATCCTAATTTGCGCTGAGAAAAGTATCAGGTACCACGTGACAAGTCCGTCAACGTGCTGCTTCATCAGCGTTCTTGACAACATTTAAACCTGAACTATCACACTTACAACTTTTGATAATCGATAAAGAGCAAATTCTCAGCGAACATTTGAGAAAGCATGAGAATTCTAATTGTTAACCCTCCATCATACTAGGTCACTAAGCCCCGCCCATCTTTAGCAGCAGTTTCATGCTGAATTGCCATTCTTGTCGCTGACGATATTTTTTGGATTTTCTATGGATGCTCTTTATTATCAGAGGAACGCATGACCAAATCAAAAGAGAAACATTAAATATTTTACTGAACGTGGCGTTATATATCCATTCCTGTAGTGGATAGGAGGTCTTCTTATTTTTTAGCGGCGTTAATACTAAAACCGAATTGGGTGAGTCTTAATCAATAGTAAATACAGAGGAAACATCTTTATTTTCCAGCTGGCCTCCTAGTTCAAGTAGGGTATAATGAAGTATAGAGATTTGTTGTGGATGCAATGAATGTTGATTCGTATGATTCATATTATACCCAGAATGAAATCACAGTTAAGATGACTTTGTATGGCCAAACGCTCTTTGGAACTGACATAAAATCTCTCTGACAGATCGGTGTGTCAGCAGACATGTCATTCCCTCATCTGAACCAGGTAGCCCAGTTGCCCCCTGGCATTTCCCCCACACAGTTTGCTGGGTTTCCCACCACTGTTCCTACAGGTAGGTCATGAAGATAAGAAATATGTATATTCATATATATTGACACTGAAGTACTTAATCTTTGTTTATTTTTATTTTTCCTCAGCAAATCCGATAATCCCAGTCCCTGTGGGAATGATGACTCCTTTTCCAGCGGTATGTAAAGAAACAGCTTAAACGTTTCTTTTGGTTTCCTCCATTTGTTTTGAATATTAACCCTGTTACCAGCCTGAGAATAATTTCCTGTAATATTTCCAAGAAAATCAGGTTTTACAATGTGCCATATATGCGTAATGTCTGTAGGCTATGTGCTATACACAGATCCTAAATACAGAGACCATACCAGATCTTCTGGTGCTTTACTCCTGACCATTTAAAATAATATGCATGCAAGCCTGTTATGCATCCAAATTCAGATGCATGGATCTGTCAGACAGGTTGTGTTTATTATACTCTGTGCAGTTGTACTTTACTGTTTGTTCCTGAAATATGCTGCAGGTTTTGGTACAAACTGCAGTGCCAGTGGTTCAGAAGCTGACTAAGGACTCCATTGGCACCCGCAACAAGGACTCGGAGGAAGGTACAGGTAACAACACAGGACTGACCACCACAGTGTTTGTGGGAAACATCTCAGAAAAGGCCTCTGACATGTTGGTGCGGCAGTTATTGGCGGTGAGTGTTTGGAATTTATTCTACAACTTTTATCTGCGCAGTAATATTAAATCTCTTAGACACATTACCTGTATAGAATTAGTTCTCTCCAGAAATAAAATTCTGTCATCTTTTACTCACTCTTATGTCATAGAGCACATCAATGGTAAACGGAAGTTCAAACTTACTTGCTTGACACATGAGAACCAATGAGGTTTGTTGCTGATTGATGTGCTCTATGTATTGTGCTCTCATCAAAAATATCCTCACTTTTGTTTCGAAGGTAAATGAAAGTCATGTGAGTTTTGAGCAATATGAGGGTGAGTAAATAAGGACAGAATTTAAATGTTCCTTTTAAGTTGATTAACACATTCTTTATTTGACCTGATGTTCATGGGAATGTCCGTGTTATGTTAGCTCAGAATTTTTTAATTGTCAGCTTGTCACAAAATACATTTTCCTTTCTTCTGCAGAAATGTGGTTTAGTCCTCAGCTGGAAAAGAGTCCAGGGGGCTTCTGGAAAACTGCAAGGTATAAAGTCAAACTATAATAATCATCAGTGCATAGTGTGTCAGTCTTTTGTAGTCTGACAAAGATGACAAAGATGTTATTGGTAAGTTCTAGCAATGAAATTTTTTTACAGACTTGGTATTTTCATGACTACTTTGACTACTTTAGGCCCAGCAGTTTAGATTTTTTTTAAGGATCTCTATCCAGGATTGTGCTAGTATTTGTTAACATGGGCTGTCTTAGGCAAACAGGAATATGTTTAAAAAGATCAGACCTTCAGCTTTCTAAATTCATGTCATCTGTCCGCCCTGTCTGACCCAATGTTGTGAACTTCATACATTTTTATGTGTGTGTTTGTATGTGTAGCTTTTGGTTTCTGTGAGTACAAAGAGCCAGAGTCCACGCTGAGAGCTCTCCGACTGCTTCATGAGCTGCAAGTGGGTGATAAGAAGTTACTTGTGAAGGTGGATGCAAAGACCAAAGCACAGCTGGATACCTGGAAGGCCAGTCAGAGGAGACGAAATGGGGTAAACCAAAAAAATGTATACTTTCATTCAGCTAGGACACATTAAAGGGGTGGTTCATTGCGATTTCACTTTTTTAACGTTAGTTAGTGTGTAATGTTGCTGTTTGAGCATAAAAAATATCTGCAAAGTTACGAAGCTGAAAGATCAATGCAAACGGAGACCCTATATTAAAATCTAACATAAGCAGTAGCATTTACAAATAACAGCGTATCTAAAAGTATGAGACAGCAACAAACAAAAAACATAGGCCTACCATTAAAAGCCGTGCTTGCACAGGTTCTGCACAATCCTCTTCAATAATATCCTCTGCTTCTCAATCGTACTCAAACTGATAAGCGATATTAACGACGCCTTGTTTTCAATACAACCGGAGCACATGCCGCTGAGGTGAGGGGCGGGACATTTAGACGCGCACTAGAGGCAGTTTAGCCAATCACAACACACTGGGCTAGCTAACCAATCAGAGCCCATCGCCTATTTCTGAGGGAGGGGCTTCATAAAAGAAGGAAATAATCGGCATGTTTCTCAGAAGGGACCGAGCGGTGTGGAATAAAGGTAAATTATGTGAAAAATAATGCGTTTTTTAAAAAACGAAGCATTAACACATGTTAGACTGCACCCCATAAACACAATCAAGCCTAGAAAAAAATCACTGAACCACCCCTTTAATTAAAATAACGAGCATGATTGAGCACCAAATCAGCATATTAGAATGATGTCTGAAGGATCATGTGACACTGAAGACTTGAGTAATGGCTGCTGACGTCACAGGAATAAATTATATTTTTAAAATATATTAAAACAGAAAACAGTTATTTTAAATTGAAATAATATTTCACTGTATTACTGTTTTCATTGTATTTTTGATTAAATAAATGAAGTGTTATGCAAAAGATACTTTCAGACATAAGAGAATTTCAAAAACATAAAACTCAAAACTGTTGAATGGTAGTGTACTCTACATCAATATTAACACATCTTTCATATGAATGCTTCTTACCCGTTTCATTGATGGAAAGAGTGTGTTGGTGCATGTCAGTCTCAGAGAACGTCCCAGCTTAAAAGGAGTTTGTAAACCATGATAATTGTCTTTCACATACAAATACATATTCCCTATACAGGCTCCTCAGACTGGAGAAGAGGCTAGAGATGAAGAGGAGGTAGAGCTTCTGGACGAGGAGATGAAGCGGCGTGATCAGATGGTGAAAGGTGCCATAGACAGTCTGATCCGGGAATACTCCAGCGAGCTCTCAGCCTCCTCACAGGATGCTGAAGCCCATCAACGCAAGAAACGTAAAGAGAAGAAGGAGGTATTTTTACTCTCACCATGGTAACCATACTGACCTAGCAGCCCTGTCATAATGACTTAACTGAAATACTGGGACATCTTCCAGAAAGTTTTAATTAAAGGAATTCTCTGTCATCATTTACTCATTCCTCATGTAGTTTCAAACCAGTATTACTTATTTGCTTGCTTTTTCAAAAGATATCATATGACAGTAAGTTCTCACATGACTTTGGAAGAGTAATATAGCATTGAAGTCAGTAAAGTCATAATTTTATGGTGTATTTTTTGTAGCTTGAAAGCTCAAGTCTCCATTTATTGTAATTGTATTGAAAACATCAACGGATATATTATTAAAAATTCTAATTTCGTGTTCCACAGATGAAAGTCAGTTTTGAACAACATAAGACTGAATAAATGGTGACAGAATATTTTATTTTTGGTGTAACTGTTACTTTGTAAGATGTATCTTATTATTGCTCTTAAAGGTAATTTATTAAGATTTAATTTATCTGCTCACATGGTCTAATCAGTTTTACTATTTCCCCCCCCCAGGATGATATAAATGCCATGGGGCTGGAAGATGACAAGCGAGACCTGATTTCCAGAGAGATTAGCAAATTCAGAGACACACACAAGGTAACACACTACTTTCTTTTTTCTCTCTCTCCTTTTCTTAGCCTAGTCTGTGGACTGAAGACGGCCACATCTAGAGTACTCTAAACTCACATTATTATAACTGAAACTACACCTCAGTAGAGTAACTTCACACAAATAAATCTATAGGAATTTGAGATATCCTGCCCATTTTAGACAGCTGCATGAGGCAATTTTTTAAATCCAAGAAACAACATTGTTCACGTTTATTAGAAATAATGCCTCTTTTGTTGTGTTATTTCACCTAGCAGCATCCAAGCAAAAGATTTGTCAGATTACAACTTTAGAAGCTGTTCTCTGAAAGAATGATTATAGAAAAGAGATGGCTGAAGCCTCTTAGATTGTTTCTCTGAGTGGCAACAATGGCAGCAGATGGGCAGGACCAGTTCAGGCTAGATTTACCACACAAAAAGTGCATGAACGAACTGTAAACCTCCCTCTAAAGCTAATCTGTTCATTAAACCCCACCATTACGGTAGAGGTCATATGGTGACTAAAGCAAGATGAATCTCAGAGCTTTGGAAAAAGTTGCTGGAATAGAGGATGTAAGTATGAGCTTCATTTTCTATTCTTCATATCTTGGGCGCCCCCTTCTGGAGGATCAACAAAGGTGCAACTGGCTCTGGGTCTCAGAAATGTGGCTCTGAGGATGCGGTAGTGCTAAAAAGACCAGCTGAAATGTAACACACTTTGATGTATTGACCTCAGGAGACTAACTGTAATCCTGAGTGTGTGCGTTCAGCAGAAGTTGCTCAATAAACCATATTTTTGGAAGCTGTTGTGTGGGCAGAGCTCAGTGAACCTTTGTGAGTCCTCTGTGTAAAAGCGTGGTTTTGGTGAGAAATGCAGTACTGAATAACCACTGCAGTATTTTTCACTGCAGTCTGAGGGGGGCGCCCTTTCACAGCACGCACAAAGCTGAAGATTCCTCAGGTAAGAAGTCATATTTCTTTCTTGTCCCATTCCCTCTTTCTCTCTGTTTCTAGCTGTTGATTTTGTTTTATTTTTCTACATCACATTTGATACAATAATACAGTACAACTCTGATATGTTATCCGAATAGAATTTGCCCTTATCTGTGTATTTAAGGCAGTCATATTATGAGGAATAAAATTTTCCTTGATCTGCTTGATTGTATGATGGAAACAGACTGATTAAAAAGGTCTCTAATCATTTAACAATGTAATGCCAGCTTATTGAGACTTATTGAAGTAAAACTGTATTGAACCTGACCGCAAACCTATAACTTAAAAGAGACAGAAGTAAAATAGCCCTAAGGGTCAGTGCGAGGGTAGAAAATGGGCATGGACAGACTATTTAAATGTGCAAGTGGAAAAAATTAATAATAAAAGGTATTATCTATGACCCCCCCTCTCAAAATAAGAGATATAAAGATAATAAAATAAAAGCTACTGTCTCAACTAGTTGTCATTGTTTATTGAGTAAGTTCACTAAAAATATACTTTGCATATAAAATTTTTGGCTCACTAAATTTCAGCATCAGTTCCACATCTTTTCAATCCCACTTTATTTGTGCACATCTTTTGGTCATGCTCCTCATTTCTCTCTGTTTTTTCTTGCATTTCCTCTCTTTTGTCAGCGTTCACCATTCGGAGCAGAGAGTTCTTGTCCTCCGCAATCATTCAGTAAAGCAGACAATATCTTTTCTATTGCCATAGCTATTTGAAACTTGTCTCTGTCTCTGCATGGTCAGCGTCTGTATTTATATTTGTTTGTATTTGTTGGGCGACTGAGGCCTGAGGGACAACAGAAGACGACACTTGGGTGAGATTCCACCTCTCTGATTTCATTCATTTTGCCAAAGTGAATGTATTTGGATGATACAGTGTATTACGGATCTCTGCAAAACCGATTTAAAAATAAATCAGTGATTGGAAAGAATGAGCATCGCTTTAAAATCTGATATTGAATTATGAGAGAAACACACAGAGTTTGTTTGGAGTAAGGATGTACAAGTTCAATACTAACATAAAGAAGTGTAGTATCAGTCAATTTGGTACCCGAGGACTGTCTGACTGACAGGTTCGTATTTCTGTGTCTGAACGTTCACGTCTTGGTCAAGATGGCCTTGAAGAGGTATTCATGTAAAGGGTCAGTTTGTCTTAAAGGAATGGACAAAGAATACTTTTGAAGTGTAAATGTAGCCAAATAGATCTGTTGCTGTGCATTATGTTGTTATTATTAATCAAACGTTGCTGTTTGCTACTTTCCTTTTTTTAAGTTTTGTTTATATTCATATTTTTACTGTCCAAATTAATATATATAAAGTGCTGTCAAATCGATTAATCACATCCAAAATAAGTTTGTGTACACACAATATATGTGTGTGCTGTGTATATTTAAATGTGTATATATAAATATATGCACATACATATGACTTATATTATGCATAAATATAAATATGTTACATGTATTTCTTACATATATACATGTATGTGTGTGCATTTATATATACAAATAAATATACACAGTACACACACATAATGTGTTAACACAAACTTTTATTTAAACACGATTAATCGTGGTTAATCGATTTGACAGAAAATACTTATATACAATTTTTTTGAAAGAACACATTAACACAATCTCACCAACCCCAAACTTTTGAACATAGTGAATTTATAAAGCATATTAGTTTTTGCTGTTGCAATGAAATTTATATTCTACTCATATTGGTACAGACTACAGATTTATTTATTTATTTTTAGAATCAGAGCAACTCTGGTAGTGAGTATGTTTAAGTATATTTGTATGTATGTGAACTAACCCACCCTACCTCTTTTAAAGGCCTGGCAATGAAACCATCTCTGAACACAAAGAGATGTCTACCACAGACAACTGTGTAGTCTCTTCAAGTCATTCATATAGAAAGCCTCTTTAGTGCAGTGTGGCCTCTTTATCCTACCAATTATTATTTGCTTTATTTTAAATATTTCAGATGTTTTTTTTCATGGTTTCTCCAAAATCATGTGTAGAAGGATGAAACTTTATGTGGGAGAGGAATACTGTGTGTGCATCTATTTGAGTGTAAGTGTTGATATCATGAGATTTTCATCATACTGAGACACTGGCTTCATGATTTAAACCTCTTTCTGTTTCCAGGGAGATTCTGGAACGTTGCCCTTCTTCTATATGTGTGTTCTCACACTTACATGAAATAATATCTCTCTTTCCCCACCGGAACCCTGCAGAAACTAGAGGAGGAGAAGGAGAGAGAACGGCAGCAGATTGAGAAAGAGCGGAGAGAAAGAGACAAAGAGAGAGAACGAGAGAAAGAGCGACGTGATCGGGAGAGAGAGAAGGAGCGGGAGAGAGAGAGACAGAAGGAGAGAGAAAAGGAGCGAGAGAGAGAGCGAGAGAGAGAGCGAGAACGAGAGCGAACGAAGGAGAAAGAGCGGGAGAAAGAGAGAAGTCGTGATCGCAGTAAAGACAGAAGCAGATCAAGGTGTGTATGACTATAGAATCTGTACAAGCATCTGTATTTTTTACCTGACCGAAAACTTTGACCAGAATATTGCATAATAAAGTTGTGCAAACTATGACAATGTGCAAGATTTTATTTATTTATTTATTTTGATAATAAATGTTTGATATTCTGATCCTGTTTCACTTGAAAATAATTCACATTACCTAATTAATTTGTAGCGAAAACCGTTCTATCTTATTTTAAAAGACGTCACGGAATCAGAATTATTTTGTGGCTTTTAGTGCATGTCTGTCCATATCAAAGAAGTTGACTACTTGCTAATGTATTCCTGAAAGTTCAGCTATATACACATTTGAAATGTATAGGCTTCTGGGAAAAACAAATGAAAATAACTTTATTTGTATAGCACCTTTCAAGTAGTGTTTCTCATATGAGACCCTGGACCACAAAACCTTCTTAAATGTCAATTTTTCGAAACTGAGATGTATACATCACGAAAGCTGGATAAATAAGCTTTCCATTGATGTATGGTTTGTTAGGATAGGACAATATTTGGCCGAGATACAACTATTTGAATATCTGGAATCTGAGGGTGCAAAAAAATCCAAATATTGAGAAAATCACTTTTAAAGTTGTCCAAATGAAGTTCTTAGCAATGCATATTACTAATCATAAATTAAGTTTTAAAATATTTGCAGTAGGAAATTTACAAAATATCTTCATGGAACATGATCTTTACTTGATATCCTAATGATTTTGGCATAAAAGAAAAATCGATAATTTTGACCCATACAATGTATTTTTGGCTATTGCTACAAATATACGCCAGCGACTTAAGACTGGTTTTGTGGTCCAGGGTCACATATTGCTTCATATGACATAATGCGCAGAACACACAAAACTGTAGTTTTTAAATAATTAAAAGAAATACGACAATTTTAAAAGTAACAAGTAACTAAAACTAAGAATGAAAAGAGTGAATAAAACAAAAACAGTCCATCATAAAATATTAATATAATGTATTTTACATAAAATAAATAAAAAGATTATAAAATATAGAAAAAGAGGTGTTAAAGGTGTTAGATAAAGCTAATATTTGTAATATATCATTTCGTGGGGTTTAGTCTTCTAAAGTAGAATATTTAGACATTTCTGGAACCATCTGAAAGGTTCAGCTAGTATCTTTGTCTCTATATCCTTTGTAAGTGTTGTTTATCTTCTGTAAGTAGTGTAATTGCTAGTTTCTAATGTACAGAATAAATGTTGTGTGTGGGCGCGTTGTGTTTTGAAGGGAGAAGAGTCGAGAAGAGAAGAAAAGAGAGCGTGAGGAAGATGAGGAGGAGGCGTATGAACGACGGAAACTGGAGAGGAAGCTACGTGAAAAAGAAGCAGCCTATCAGGAGGTTTGGAATCAAAAATGTACTGTTTTAGATGATTATAATGGAACATCATGGATTTCCTCACTATTTGCACTTTAAAAATTTGATCTACTCTAAATGGTCATGTTAAACTAATGTATGAGGTTTTGGTCGATAAAAGTGCAGAAAGGCTGGTGAGAGAACATTTGTGCCATTCCAGAGCACTGCTTCTGTCTCTGGAGCTCTGTAGTGTCCTGCTTCTAGATCATCTGCCCTCTTTTATTCTCAAATGCAGGACAAACAGATCTGTGCTTCAGGGTTCCCACGCTTCTTGAAAGTACTTGAATTTCAGACATGTGGATTCAAGGCCTGGAAAGTACTTGAAAACAAACATAGGTCCTTGAAAGTGCTTGAATTAAATTTGAAATACATTTTGTTTATGGCGCTATTTAAAAAATTGTCCTATATGTTCTGTCAAAAGACA